TTAAGGTTAGAGGGCAATAAAAGAACAAGAATTAAGAGGCCAAAAGATAACTATTGACAATGCATTTAAATTGTTGAAGATCAAATTTGGCTTGGAAGCAGAAACCCTCAAGAGACTTCCACAAGCAAGAAGTGTGAGAGAAGAAACTATTAGCATAGAACTTGCAGTTACATCTAGCTACTTCAATGGTAAAACTATCCATCAATCTAGTACTGAGGTTAACTTCATAAAGTCTAGGTACCAGAGTGAAAAGTAATGTTTATTTTGCAAATATAAAAATGTGACACAAGGCCAAAAGGAGGGATATGGAAAGGCTGGTCTTCAATCTGTTTTATCTTAAACTTAGCTAGCCACAATTAATGACCCAATCATATCACAGTATTCCTTACACTAAAACACATTCTTACTACAGTCATGATAATTCCTCAAAGTCTCTATGAAGTCCTAACTTGTTCTCATATGTTCAATTTGTCTGTGGGTGGGGGATAAAAATAATATATATATTGTAAGTAAAATTAGGACCAAACAATAGGAAGGGAACAGGTTGGCTCGGCACTGCCTACTTCCGGAAGAAACAAAACTCCTCAGCTTCAAGACAGATTGCTCAAAACAATTTAGCTACAAAACTCCACACAGATCTTTGCACTCAATTATTCCAACACCGCCTCATAGTTCACTACACACAACTCTCGAAACGGTCTCCGCTGTCACATTTATGCCAGCGAACACCAACCAATTTGCATATGGCCAAGTTCACCTCTCGCCAATCCTCGCAGCTACTTAGAGATTACGTTTTCCCATAAGTCCGACTCACCGTAATGGCTGTGTTTCTTCCTTCGGACCAATTACTGCCCTGCATGCCAGACACAAACAAACCCTCTTATGTCCGAGCTGAGGTTAGTCTCATTTTTCATGTCCAGCAAATAATATATATATATATATATATATATATATATATATATATATATATATATAAAAAAGCCCCAATGAATATTTACAAAAGATTACAATGCCAAAGAGGAAAGTTCATCAGAACAATGACCATAAAATATTTATAGAAAAGGCCCAAGGAAGCCATGTTATTGTGGTGAGAAAGTTGTTGCATATCCCCCTTATGGAGGTGGTTTTGGCATTGATTCACTCATATGTTGTGACTTCTCTCTCTTCTTTCTCATTTTCCGGTCAGTGATCACTAGTATTTTTTGGTTTAGAGATAAAAGACATTCAACAAAGGGAATTTTAACTTAACTATTATATTAAACCTGTCGACATGTATATTTCTAATTAGCCAGTGGGGATGCTCTCTCCCTTCACTGGGGAGCAGTTTCCAGAGACAAAAGGAACATGTCTACATTGTTTGACGTGTAAGAAACAACTTGCCCAAAAACCTTTCTCCATCTATCATTCCCATGCTAGTTCAGCCAATCAAAATCAACTTCCCTTATTTTGTCTTGTATCTGATCCCAAAGGTCAAACTGAGAAGTCCAAGCAGAGATACAATTCCTCTAAAAAATAATAGTTTATTATTTAACAAATTGTTTGAAGCTGAGATGCCAGGTCAAGACCAATAAAATTACAGATTCTTCTTTGGATTTTATCAAGAACCTCTAAATACATAGCTGAAACACCAGATCAGATGTGCAGCAATAGTAAGATTTATAAATATATGACTAAAATTTGGTGAGAAAAATTGTTTAGCATAACATGTGAATTAACCTCACTTATAGCAGACTTAGCAGTTGATTAAATATAACCTTTCCACTTCATGTCAGCAGACATGAAACACTTAGCAACTAAATATTTCTAAACGCACAAAACCCTTTAATGCCACACTTAAGTGAAAATGAAAAATATATTACTCTACGGCATTAAGTCAAGTGCTTTTGCAGATAATGAAATATTACCTAAGTAGATATTGAGTAGATAAATAGATAATTATGAGTGCATAATATATAACAAGACTTGTATTTTAACTTATGTACTTTAAATAAGGAAAGAGGATTTTTTTTTTTTTTGTGATTGTATCACTTATGCAAGGCAGTAATGCCACTGACACAAGGGGCTACTGAGTATTATATATATATATATATATATATATATATTATTACTAAGAGTGAGAATGACAGAAGAGAAAAATAGAAGATGGTAGATGGCGATTGACCTTGCATTTAAATTTTTAAAGATCAAAGTTGCATGGAGCTGGAAGAGCTAGCAACTTCAACTGTAAAGTGACGAGACAATGCTGCCAATCTAGTGGTGGAATGTATGTAGGAGTTCCACTTGAGGTCTGTGTTGAGTTTGTCCCAATAGGCACTCAAGGCATGGCATTTCTCTAAAGGAGCTCCTGTTAATCATGATTGGTGATAGGTTTGGGTTCAGTTGTTGATGTAACTAATTTGATTTTCAAGGTATTGAATGTAATCAGTCAGTCCCCCACCCTTGAGATATTAGTTTTAGGTCAGGGGAAAGATTAGCTGGTCATTTAGAGTTTTGGCAGTGCACCCATATACCCTTTTATCATCAGCATAGATATTCACAAATGACTGGTGTATGGTCATAGGGGATCATTTATGTAAAATAAAGAGAGGGTTAATCTGAGAAGCAACCCCTGGGGAAAGCCTGCATTGATTACTAGGGCTTTGGAGGTCTAATTGTTAATAACCACCTTCAAGGACTTATCCATTAGGAAGGACTTTATAATTGAGAAGAACCTTCTAGTGATTCTATAGCTAGAAAGCTTGTGCAGTAATCTTTTATGCCACACCTTATCAAAGGTCTTTGAAATATTCAATGTGATAGTCATTAAGATGTATTTTCTGTCTAATGTTTCATTGATTCTTTGAGTAATGGCTGATAGGATATCAGTTATGGATCAGGCCGATTGATACCTGTACTGCTTGTTGCATAAGAGATTGTTCCTATTCAGGCGATCAACACTCTTCTTGATAATAACCTCAAAAAACTTCCTAATGACACTGAAGAGACTGATGGGTCTATACTGAGAGGGGGATGAGTGCTCATCTGCGTTCTTGAAAATAGGATATATACTTAACAATTTCCACAGGAAGGATTTCTCCTCCAAGCTGTGGCTAAATAATTTCACTAAGATTTTTTGGATTGATATTCTTAAGGACAACCACTGGAATTTTGTCTTGGCCAGTGGCATTCTTGTCAAGGCTTTTGATAAGTCTTGTAACTTTCTGGTATGTAATAAAGTACTAGTGAGATTGTGCTTAGTCTGGAGAAGAAAGGCCTATGTCATCTAATGTTGAGTCAAAGATAAAATGGAGGCAAAGAGCTTCAGTTTATTTGACGAGGATGAAATGATGCTGAGGCCATATATAATAATGGGGACAGAACCATGTCTTTATTCAGAATTTGGTTGGAGATCTTCCAGAACTCTTAGGATCTGGTATTTTTTTATTTTTTTTTATTTATTATTTTTAACTCTGGCCTCAACCACTTGTGCATAGCGACACTTTGCATTCTCTAGAACTTTCTTGCAATGACTGTGGGTAGTTCTCAATGCAACAAGTATTCAACAACACTGCTATATGTGAAAGATATTTTAGTAATGGTTATGGTGAGCTATGGCTGTAGTGCAGTCAGGAGTGAATCAGGACTGGCTGCTTGGTTTCTGATGGAATTTTTTCTGGGTTATAAAGCTCTCCATTCCATTTAAATCATGACATGAAATTTGGCAGGAGAAAAAGAACCCATCAGCTGCAGAATGCTGGACAGTGTGAACTCTACATTCTTTTAAGATGGTCAGCATTAAAATTATATTATCAGCTTGTTCAAAATAAATGTGAAGTGTAGTAACTGAACAGAATAATCTCTCAAGAGGAATGTAGATTTTAAATTGAAAAACTTATAAATTTTTTGAACAATCTCAAAATAAATGAATTCAATGTATACATGGATTTTATATATGTTTGTTTTTTAATCATTTTTACCCCAGGCAAGGCAACAAAGCCATGTTATAAAATAAAATAAGACATATCTCGGCTGATTTGCAGGCAAATAAACTAACATACTTAAGAGCGAGAGCTGGATGTGAACGGGACAAGGCCCCGTCACAAAATGACCATTATCGTCATTTATGCATAAGCCCGGCACACGAGTTCTGGTCGAAAAATGAAATTATATTTTAAAGTGTTTCTATTTTTTGACAAATAAAAATGCTTCCCCCCTAATTATACTCGTGTCGTTTTTCAAGCCTGTTAAGCCATAAAAAACGCCATAAAAGGGGTCACACAGGGAAGTACAACAGGAGGCCAGGGAAGAGACCTGTCACGGTCAGTCAGGGAGGAGCGCCACGCCAACCAGTGTGAACTACTATGAGAGATCAACACATACCGGGAGCCAGATTATGAACTATACCACACAAGGTAGCTGTCCCAAACACACACGTTCCTATTGAAATAAATCACGTAAATCGATTTTTTTCTTTGCCTCTTCCATATTCCTAGGGCCTTTCTCATATTCCTTTTTTTTTTTTTTTTTTTTTTTTTTTTTTTTTGACAATTCTCATATTCCTCATTTTATAACAAAGAATATAGCTGTTACTTATTTTGCCGAACCACCTGTGTGTGACATGTAGTATCTGAGCCTCACTTGCACTGCTTTTCATGTAAGGCCTGGCAGTTCATGCAAATTTTATTTGACTAATTGTCAACATTTCAAGGCTATAAGCTTTTGCTTTTTGAGACGGATGCATTTGTTTTTTAATTTTTTAAATCTTTATTTTATATCTTTTGGACTTGGTAGGTATACATCTTAATTGCAGACTTCAACTTTCTACCATGCATTTATGAGTAGAATTACAAGAGTCATTGAGAAAACTGATTTCTATTTCTTTATGTATTTTAACCATCTTAAAATTACTAAAAAAATATTTTCACAAGTGCTTTTATCTCTTATCAGTTGAATGCAGCTTGTTTCAATTATTCTACTTTTTAGACTTTAATAATAGGTTTTTAAAAATGAATATTTTTCAGCCACGAAAGGCACATTTGGTTTTGAAAGATGGAAGTTACTACCAGGGATACTCTTTTGGCTTTGAAAATTCTTCTGCAGGAGAAGTTGTGTTTAACACAGGCCTTGTTGGGTGAGTAATTAATAAAATTGGTCAATAGATAACTAGCAGTGTAGTTGGTTGATCTGTAACAGCCATAAGGCTGTTTTCAATGTTGTTTCCTAAGATCTGTAATATGTTATATATATATTGTGGCTTGATTTCATATCTCAAACACACTTGCAGTACAACAGCTTCATCAGTTATATTTTATTCTTGATGTCATTGGGAGTTTCAGGCCTTTAAAAACATCAGACCCTTTCCCAGGTGATCCAACCAGGAGCGATCATCTTCAGGTCAGCTTTCCAACTGTTGTCGGTTGTTTCTGTGAAATTTGGTCTTAACTTAAATTGATAATGGGAAAAAGCTATGGAAGAAAGATTTATTCTCCAATTTGTATTCCCCCTGACCATTATTATTGCATCCTGGGTATGACAACAAACTACATCTTCAGGCTTCTGATCAAAAGATTGGAGGTTTTGAGGAGTGTGGAACTGACTCTGGGTGGCAGCACTTGTTAGGGTCTTAGCTATGGGTAAATGCTGAATCCCCCCAAACAAAAATCAACAGTACATTTTTATAATAAAATGAGGAAAAATGCATCTTTATTGCAAAATGACATTCAATTCAACGCTAAAAAAAAAATTATAAAAATACATTTTTATAGTAAAATTACCAACAACACATTTTATGATCTACAAAATATCTCTAAAAATCATACTTTTTACTCTGAAAGTGTAAAATTATGTAAAAAAAATCTGTAGTTGAAAGCATAAAATTACATACAAAATATTTAGATTTTAGCATTAAATAACCCATAGAGGTATTGATATGCCACAAAACAAAGTCAACCAATCAAGTGACCCATTATGAGCATTATTATATCCATGATATAATAAAACAATATTTCACGGTATGGCTGAAAGGAAAGGGAGTGACAAACTTATTTTATTTTCAAAGATTTTTATATCAAGATGTGCACAGAAAAATATATCACATATCAAGCATAAAGCAAATGAAAAGATACAATTTTACATATAATATGGAAATTGTTCTTTGTTTCTGGAGAAGCCATGATTAGGACTCTAGATTCAAGCAGGTCAGATTCATCTAATATATTCCAAGCAGAGATATATTCTGCAAACAGGAAGCGATGTCTTAGGTTTTCCCAAATTGAGGACTGTGAGCCTAAGTTTAAAAAAAAAAAAACAATCACTCAATTTGGCTGTTGTAAACCAATAGAAATTGACTGCTCAATGTATGGTGTTATATCACTAAGCAGCTGGCATTTGACTAAATCAACCTAATCCTTTGATTTAGAATGTGTTTTAGAGTTACCAAGATCATGTGCCTATTTAATGTTGATGAAAATTGATTTTTTTTTTACTATTTGGTGAATAAAATTTTTGAGCATTGTTAATACTGTAAAAGTCAACATATTAAAATTGTATAGGGCTATATACAACAATAAATATCATAAAATAAATCAAACATGGAAGAAGAGCAAGATAATAAAATAAATGAGAGTAAAGAGGTGAATCAAAACAATATAAAAAAAAGAATAATAAAATAGAGGCTAACTTGTTTTTGATTGTCACTCTTCAGAGCCATTCAAGGACAAATGTTTTAAAAAAAATCAATAAAATAAGAACAGCCAAGGAAGCAGCAGGGTGGTGGTGGAAATAATCTTACTCTGATTATATTAAGGCCAAACAGCCATTCCTTCTGCTTAGAGAGGAAAAGCTACTTAGACAATGTATGTCTAATATTTTCAAGTGGTAATTTGGAATGTGCACTGCTGATTATTGCAAATGACATTTTGTATTTCCCATTTGCAAACCATGTCGCTGCTGAAGGGATGTTGTCTGCCAGGATATCCTGCAGATGATTCTGGTGCTGGAGTATGTTCTGCCAAGACAATGAGGGCTTTCATGGGGTCAACACCTTCAAAGCATGTAATTTAGCAGCAGTTGCATAGACTGTTCAAGATTTTTTAACATTTTTTTTTTTTTCCCAGGATTGGTCTTCAACAATGGTTTAATAAATGGGTAGTCCTCAGGCTTGTACTAGTGGAGTTTTTAAATGGGATTCAGAATATGCCGTATTGACTGCACATTTTAAAACCAGAGCTTCACATGCCATAGATCAGTGAAGTTGGACAATCCCAGTAAAGTACAAACATTGACGTTTCTATTGAAATTTAATTTTCCTTGACTGCAGATATGTCAGCATCTCGAAGAATTCTGACAGTATCACTGACTTGATTAAAACTTTGATTCAGTTTTCTTTTTACAATTTTTTTTATTAAGTTTCAACTTAATCATCTTTTGACCATGATCATGATGTCATTTGCAAGCCATGTACAATAAATTGTTTGAAGTTGTAGTGAAAAAGATAATCAGGTACCCCGGAAAAAGTTTGTGTTTTGTGTGCGATCTGCCGAGGAAGGATTACCAAAAAGTAGTCAGCAAAAATCTTATAGCAAAGAAAACAGCGACTTACCTCGTCAAAGCAAGCGACAGCGCGTCGCATGTATTCTGTGACGAAAAAAGAAACAAGTCCTTCGCAGGATCGCTATAAGAGTATTTTGATATGCAAATTACGGAGCATCCTATCCCAGCTGTCGACGAATGAAAAAAAATAGGTTCTGCCGATAAAAGCAGTTGGTGTTCTCGATTCGGAGGAGGGAAATTCGGGCATTTTTGGCTTCGGCGTTTGTTAGAGAGTGAGTTATTTTCCTGACTGGTTACACGCATTGAGATTCGAGATAGTACCGGCGAATTGAGTTTTCAGCATTTCTTTCTGTCCTCGATATTCGAGTCTGTACTTATGGTGATTTTTCTTTCTGTTGTGGAAGTAATCTGTGACAAATACTTCCTTTGCTTTCAGAACGCTTACACTTACAAGCTATTTCGGCATTTACTTTGTCTCTGGCAAGATGGCGGAAAGACCGTTTGATATAAAACTAATCCCCGAATTCAGTGGTGATACGAGCGGACAATCTGTGGTTGAATGGATCGAAAAAAGTGGAACTGGTCTGCGAATTATCGCGAGATCATGAAGATTGAATGGATTCTTCCACTGCAATTGAAAGGCGGTGCCCTTGCTGTGTATAGGCAGCTGAGCAAAGAACAAGCGACACTGAGCAAATAAAAGCACGCTCTACTAACTGCGTTTGGAACTGACCAGTTAAACCCCCTACGACCAATTCCAGGCCTGGCGTCTGCGACCTAGCGGGACAGATGTATATTTGGCAGAATTAAAAAACACGCAGTTCAATTGCACCGCTTCCTGAAGAATGGATGACATGTGTCTTCGTGTCTGGATTGCCCAGTCATGTTAAGCAGATACTCCGCATCATCCAGAATGGAAGACCTGGCGCTCAATCAATTGTTGACCAGAGCCCGTGCTATCATGATCGACGAAAAAAGAGGCTGATGAACCAGTGGCGCGGTTGTTCAACCAATTGAAGTCAAAGAAGGTCCGACCCCAGCCATCCATCGCCATGGCGTTGCCACCTGCTATCGATGCTCTGGGCCGAATCATTTTGCCAGAGACTGTCGCTATCAATGCAAAGAAATGTGCAGCGGGTCTGCGCAAAAGGCACGTCTCGAGCTACGATGCTTCCAATGTCATAAAGTAGGTCATATTGCGTCAAAGTGTCCGGGAAATGGAATGGGGGGGGCGACGTCAGCACTGGTCTCTTCCCGCACCGAGCAGGAAAGTGGGGTTCCCTGTGATTAAGGTGCGCATCAATGGAATAACGCGTACTGCTTTAATAGATTCGGGCTGCTTTCGGTCGTTCACGAATGGTTCGATTTGTCAACAGTGGAGCAGACAAAAGATGGACGTACTAACGGCTGATGGAAAGGCTCTCAGAAGCCGGGGAGTTGGAAACATCAAACTCGGTATCAACAACGGTGACCCTGTCACAGTCAGTGTGTTGGTCGTGGACAGCGCGTTATTAGGTTTCGATCTGCTCCTTGGGATGTACACATTACAGAGGCGGGCGAAGTCAAGTTTTCTGATCCACCCATCTGTGCTAACTTGAAGATCAACAAGCCCGACTTTAGTGCAGAGTTCAACCAAAGGACGAAGACATGGACAGCATTTTGGAAATGGTCGGAAAATAACCCACCAGAAAAGCTCCAGAACCGAGTGTCAGAATATTCGGTGCCCAAATGCGTTAAGGAAGAATACCAGCGTGAATTGCAGGTGTGGCTGGATAATGGATGGCTGACTCCATTATCCACGAGGAAGAGCTTGGTCCTCAAGAGGCCTCATCCGTTGATGGCCGTGGTACAAAAGAACAAGGGAAAAGGTGCCCTGTACTAGATTATAGAGAACTGAATGAACATGTAGACACATACACAGCTCATGCTGATGTGTGTGCACAAAAAAGTGAGAGAATGGTGAGCGAAGGGATCCAATGTCTTTGTGATTGACCTTGAAGGCCTACTTGCAGGTGAATGCGTGTGCACCAGTCACTGTGGCCATTTCAGACGGTGGTCCTTAATGGGACGAGATACTGCTTAAACCGAATGGGATTCAGACTCAATGTAGCGCTGGCCATCATGAAAGCCATCGTGGATGCTGTGCTATCCCAGGATGAGACAATTAAGTCAGCGATGTCAGCTTACATTGCGACATCTACATCAACAAAGCTTAGTACCCGCTGCACAGGTGAGAAAGCATCTTGCTGACTTTGGGCTCGAATGTAAGAACCCAGAACGACTGGAGGATGGTGCTTATGTGCTCGGACATTTTCCCGTGGGCAGGTGGATCCGCATTGCAACTGCATTTATTAAACGTAGGGTGACTGCTGTCACTTCCGGCTGGGATGACACAACAAATGATGCTCCCCTTAGACACATGATAGCGAAAGTCATTACTAGAGTGCGTCAAGACGACCCCGTACGTGGTAAATGGTGCGTTGACGGATGTGAATTTAATTTTAATTTGGGTCGACGCGAGCTCCCTTGCAACAGGAGTGTCTCTTGAAGTAGGTGAAACTGTCGTGGAAGATGCATGTTGGTTGCGTCCCGAGAAGGATACGCAACATATCAACCTGTCAGAATTAGACAGCATTATCAGGGGAGTCACCGCGGCCCTTCAATGGAATGCAAAGGTGTTGCATTTATTCCACAGTTCGCATGCGTGTATAAGTGGATAGCAGACACTCTTCGGGGAAGGCTAGGATATGTACAAAGGCTGCGAGCAAGATGCTCATTCGACGGCGGCTAGGCACACTGGGAAAGTTGGTAAGTGAATACCACTTATCCGTAGACATACAGCTGGTCAGATCACAGCAGAACAAGGCCGATACTTTAACAAGGGTACCCCAAAAATGGCTTGACGCTATTAAGAAAGAGGTAGAGCTGGTAGGACATGTCTGTGTAACATCAGCGAGCAGACATAACTCAGATTTACTAAAATCTGTGCATTGCCAAAGCGGACATCCTGGTGTAAAATGGACCCTATATTTTGTGAGGCAGATTTATCCCTCCATATCCAAAGCTGCTGTCAGGGCAGTGGTCAGAGGATGCAAGGAGTGTCAGTCCATCGACCCAGCACCTGTGCAATGGCAAAAAGGACAAGTGAGTGTAAGCAAGGTAAGGCACCGTGTTGGAATGGACATCACCCATTATAACGGACATCACTATTTAACCCTGATTGATTGTGGCCCAACCCGGTTCACTATTTGGCGGCGTCTGCGTCGACAGGATCCTAGCGTCATTGACCACTTGGGGTCATTGTTCTTTGAACGTGGACCTCCAACGGAACTCCTCACTGACAACGACACTGCATTCCGCAGTGGACTATTCAAAGATTTTGTGGATTCGTGGGGAGTACATTTCAGATTTTACGCTGCACGTGTGTCCCATCAGGAAATGGCATAATCGGCGATGTCATCAGAGCATCAAAAGAATCACTGCTAGGAAGCAGTGTTCCATAATGGGCGGTGTATTGGTACAATGTTACTCAGAGACAACAATAATGTATTGTCCTCAACTTCGCCAACCAACATGATTTATCAGTACAAAGTCCGACTAATTGCATTGGCCTTAACAGCGTTCAACTGAACGGATAAAAGAATGTGCGCCGTATGACTTGGGCGATCACGTGTGGGTAAAAGCTCCACATAGCCTGTGTACAACTCTGTACCAGCTGGGGCATGTCACTGGACTAAGTAACTCGCGCTCTGTGCTGGTTGATGGCATACCAAGACACATAAAGGACTTGCGTCGCTATGTAGGTACAGATACGTCAACAAGTGACACTAGCAGTGAGTGATCAGAAAGTGAACAAATAATTACCATCGGAGGTAGGGCTAGCACCTCTTCAGATGGCGAAGACTCTGCGCATGAGGTTGTCAGACCAGAAGAATCCTCAGAAGAAGAATCTTCAGAACATTCTTCAGATGATGAAGACTCTGCATGAGGTTGTCAGATCAGAAGAATCTTCAGAACATAACACACAATCTTCTCCAACAGTCGCCCCGCTCTGGAGAAGCTTAAGAATAAAGAGGCCCGCCCATGAGTGTCACTAATGTGACGGGGGGAGTGTAGTGAAAGAGATAATCAGGTACCCCGGAAAAAGTTTGTGTTTTGTGTGCGATCTGCCGAAGAAGGATTACCAAAAAGTAGTCAGCAAAAATCTTATAGTGAAGAAAACGCCGACTTACCTCGTCAAAGCAAGTGACAGCGCGTCGCGTGTATTCTATGACGGAAAAGGTGACGAAAAAGAAACAAGTCCGTCGCAGGAGTCGCTATAAGAGTATTTTGATATGCAAATTAACTCACATCCTAGCCCAGCTGTCGACGAATGAAAAAAAAATGGGTTCTGCCGATAAAAGCAGTTTTTGGCTTCGGCGTTTTCAGCATTTCTTTCTGCCCCCGATATTCAAGTCTGTACTTATAGAAGTATTATGGAGATTGATTTTAAGTTACTATTATCTTCTCCACATATCCTCATAAACTGTGCCTCTTACTCTGTAATCCTCTACCTCAAGTGGCTCTTGAGCATTGTACAGGTTGAACATTATGGAAAAAAACTCAAACTCTATAATAGGAAAAAGAATTAAAATTTTCTTTAATTTCAAGTCATAAACATAAATGAATGATCTTGAAAATGGCCAATAATAGTTGAAATAACTAACACACACACACACACATATATATATATATACACTCAACTCTCCCATTGAATTCAATGTATGAGGGTCAAGCAGATCAGTTCCTAGGAAACCGACAGCCCGACATGAGATTTTATTATAGTGGTGAAGGTTTCGTGCAGGACCATCCACACTTTCGAAGGGCCGAATACAGAGACCTGTGCCACAAGGTCTCCAAACGACCCTCTGCAGGTTTTGAATTAAGAGTTGTCCTTTCGGTTTTGCTATTAACCATAGCTGGAGGGAGAAGAGGATTCACACCTTTCCCAAGGGTATTAGCACATAAGTGAATGTAATGGCTTCAACTGGAATTTGAACCCTGCTCTCCGCTTCCTCAATCCAAGCCACTATCCATTACTCCACCGTGCCTCCTTATATATATATATATATATATATATATATATATATATATATATATATATATATATATATATATATATATATATATATATATATATATATAATAATTTTTTATAAAAATAACAGTTACTAAAAATTTAGATAAACCTGCTTAAATGAATAATTTCCTCAAAAACATATACATATATCCTTGATACTATATCCAATTTATATGCTTTACTTCTTTACTTTTTGTCCAGCTACCCTGAAGCCCTTACAGATCCAAGCTATCGAGGCCAGATCCTGACCCTGACTTACCCCATTGTGGGAAACTATGGAGTGCCTGATACGAAAGTAAAAGATGAATATGACCTCATGCTTAATGTAGAATCTGAACGAATTCAGGTTTGTGTTGTTTTAATAAAAGATATACAAACAGAAATATTAAAAAGAAATATAATATGGAATAAGAAGTAATAAAAGATATAATTACTATGAAAGAAATAAAATGAAAAGTAAAATATGACAGATAAAAAAAAAGAAAAAAACTAATTTGTTGTTTTTCATTCTTTAAAAACCTAATTGAGGAATAAACATGGATATCCAAAGAAATTAAAATATACACAGTTTAAAAAAAAAAAAAAAAAAGAATGACAAACACATACACAAAGAAAAAAAAAAATCAACCTAACACCAGTAAAAATGGGTATGAATTATGTTTTTTTTTTTTTTTTTTTTAAATATAAAATAAAGAAAACAAGAAAAGTTTGACAGATATTTGTGACAAGGAGGCATGAAATATATATATAAATATATATATATATATATATATATATATATATATATATATATATATATATGTAATCCCTCTCTACAGCCTCACGCTTTTCATTCGGGTGTCGTGACGACCAACTGGCTTGGTATCGGTCGCGGCACCCAAATGTGACGTTCTAACCTTTTGGTGATTCGGATGGGAATCTGGTTAGATTCGATATCAGCCTCGTCGTTCCCAACTCACTTCCAACGTCTGGTTACCAAAGTAACTGCGTTGATCTCCAGTCCGCCTACCCACGTTGTGAATTGATCTTAGGCAGACGAAATCAATCAGTTGTTGGGGCCGTAATGCAAATTGAGTTCAAACGAGGGTGGTATCACACAAATATGCATAAAAGAAAATAAAATGATAACTCAAAAGTTCAAGGTATCAAAAAAAAGGATAACAATACTTTATATCTGGTTGCTGGATACATAGGACTGTGTCTATCTCCCGACCCGCTATATGGATTGTGACACGTTGTTTTTGTTAGGTGAGTTTTAACATCTTAAGTTGTCTGTTCTTTAAGATATTGTGTCTTCAGGCGATAGTCGAAAAACTTATTTTGGTGGTATGGATCTAAGTCGCTCTTCAAAATAAATTGTCTTTTGATTGAAGATGAGTTCAGAAGTTGCGCGAATCTTAGTCAACTGATGCGAGGCCTGCTTCAACTGAGCACTCTGGACTGAACTCTTCTGAACTGAACTCAACTGATTTTTGCTCGCTGCGACTTTGCTTATATGGACGCCGACCAAAACCGGGGTGGGTTTGTCGGGGTTGGAGGTTCCTCGGCAATTCTAAATCCATAGCCACTTCTTTTATTTTTGGTTAGGAATTTTCCACTCCTTTCCATTTTTGGAAGTCTTCTATTACTCCCACCTCTTATTCTCAAATGGATATCTCACCATACTTCAGAGGGGTGTCAACAGTTCCCCCCACTTCTTCGTAGCAACTTCTCATACCTATCCTCTAAATGGGCGGCGGCGGCTTCCCTCCTTGCATCACATGATCACCTCCACCTGGCCCTCGTTATCATTCGGCCAATAGCGTCCAGCCGGGTGGGTGTGATCCGGCTGGCTTTGTTTTAGGAAAAAAAATATATCTTGCTCAAAAAAAAATTATCTTTTTCTTTTCCTTTTCATTCCTTAATCGCAGCTCTCATCCCCCAATGTCACCTGGGATCTATCAATGCCAATTATCAAGTGGGGTAGTTGTCTAGCGAAACACAGTGGACCGTCGTCTCGAAAAAAACAGTTCCATTGTCCCAGCCGTATTTGCATTCTTGGTGCCAATTTCTGATAACATAGTTTTATTATCACAACCAATTCTAACCCCCATAGATGTCTTGTCAAAACAGCCAAGGCGTGACCCAGGGTTAACCGTGTGCGGTTAGCAGACGACCTATTAAATCCTTTCCCGACAATATTGTTTGCCCCTCTGACACAGTTAATTTTTCTTATCTATCAAAGCTCTGTATTCACCTGTTCTTTGTCAAGACAGTTCTCACGATACTGGTGGTCAAAATTTTCACCATCTTTTCCATTATCAAAATAACATTGTCCCGAATTGCCTCAGAGTTTTAGCTAGCCAGCCTCTGGTTTTGTTAATTAGATGTTAAGCCAGCATTAAGTGGCTGTTATCTATCCCTGATAACACAAGTCCGCCACCAGAACATAGTCGATTTTCTTATCCGTTTAGAATTTTTCTGCAATGGTAATGAGACCTTTCACCATTTGCTACTTATCAAAATAACATTGTCAATGTCCCCGGTCATGGGTGGCTTCTTTTATCATCTAAGCTTAAGTCTCGCCTCCCTTTTCCTTTCTTTCCTTTCTCTTTTTTTTTTTTTTTTTTTTTTTGCCCTTAAATGGTGTCATATATATATATATATATATATATATATAATATATATATTATAAAAAAAATTAAAAATCCATAGTCAATACTAAATTTATTTCAATGAATATAAGCATATTCATCTCATAAGACTGACTACATTTTATGAAAAGTTCAAAATGGGTTACTAAAATGTAGTCGGTCTAATGAGATGAATATGCTTATATTATTGAAATAAATTTAGTACTGACTATGGATTTTTCAGTTTTTTCTTATTATAATTTGCTCTGTATCATACATTGTGCTCTCATATGGACTAAAAGTCCTCTTTGGAATAATCCCTAACAATTAAAATTTGGTATTTTATCATATATACATACACACACTCTTCTGGCTTCATGCTTTCTATCAAACTTTGATCTATCAAAAATAATCATCTTTATTCCTGTTCTGTTATTATTCTCACTCTTTTATAATGTTTTTTATTCCTCACATCTTTTTACACTCAGTAACCCCTTGCAACTTAGTGGCTTTATTACCTTGCTTGAGGTGAAATTATAAAAAAAACAAAACCACTTCACAATTTAGCCTGGTGGTTGTCGTTTCTCTATATATATATATATACAGGCGGTCCCAAGATATTTGATCATCATCCATTCAAATGATGTGACCAAAGCAGTTCAAGCAGCTTTGCTTTAAGAGGGTGTACATGATGGGAATCTGAGCCCTTTCAAGGACAATATTATTGGGAACTTTCTTGCCAAGAGATATGTTCAAGAGGCATTGCATGTGGTTGGTGTTGAGCTTCCTTTCCTGTCTATCATGCAGTGTCCAAGATTCTCAGCCATAAAAGATGTGGACATGGCAGGCTACATAGAACAGGAAGCTTGGTCTGCTCTGTCAGTTTGTGCAGCAAATTATAGAATTGGAAATACTTTTATATGGGATGATATTAATTCTTCACAAGCAGAAGAAAACTAATTATTAAAAAGTATTTTACTGGCTGAAAGAAATAGGAATGGTGTATAAAGTATATAAATATTAATCATAAATACTAAATAGTAAAAAACACAAAATATTTGAATCATAAAAATATTAAATCATACATCCAAAAATAGTAGGCCTGACGATGACCAGAATGTACTTGGCTGAAACATATCTTAATAACATAAGAAAAATTGGAACAATAATCCACCAGAATAACAAGAAGCCAAGTTTGTCATACAAAGAAATTTTATATATATTTTTTTTTTTATTATCCATGCTATGAAAATTTCTTTTCTTTTTTTCTAGGTTGCTGGTTTAATTGTGCAGGATTATTCACACCAGCATAGTCACTGGAATTCTGTCAAATCCTTGTCACAGTGGTTGAAAGAAGACAAAATTCCAGCTCTTTATGGTATTGACACTCGAATGATTACAAAAAAAGTCAGGGATATGGTAAGAAGATATATTTTGTCAATTTTTGCCTTGTTCTTCTACTGTCCCATTCTTCTGTTGTCCTTTCTCTTTGCCCCGTTCTCCTATGGTTCTCTCTCTGTCTTGTTCCCCCACTACAGACCTATCTCTCTCCCTGCCCCGTTAACCCCCCCCCTCCCGTTCTCCTCGCAGCCTCCTCTCTCCCCAGTAGTCCCGTTCTCCTCGCAGCCTCCTCTCTCCCCAGTAGTCCCGTTCTCCTCGCAGCCTCCTCTCTCCCCAGTAGTCCCGTTCTCCGTTCCCGTTCTCCTCGCAGCCTCCTCTCTCCCCAGTAGTCCCGTTCTCCTCGCAGCCTCCTCTCTCCCCCAGTAGTCCCGTTCTCCTCGCAGCCTCCTCTCTCCCCAGTAGTCCCGTTCTCCTCCCGTTCTCCTCGCAGCCTCCTCTCTCCCCAGTAGTCCCGTTCTCCTCGTCCTCTCTCCCCAGTAGTCCCGTTCCTCGCAGCCTCCTCTCTCCCCAGTAGTCCCGTTCTCCTCGCAGCCTCCTCTCTCCCCAGTAGTCCCGTTCTCCTCGCCTCCTCCTCTCCCCCAGTAGTCCCGTTCTCCTCGCAGCCTCCTCTCTCCCCAGTAGTCCCGTTCTCCTCGCAGCCTCCTCTCTCCCCAGTAGTCCCGTTCTCCTCGCAGCCTCCTCTCTCCCCAGTAGTCCCGTTCTCCTCGCAGCCTCCTCTCTCCCCAGTAGTCCCGTTTCCTCCTGCAGCCTCCTCTCTCCCCAGTAGTCCCTTCCTCTCCTCTCCCCAGTAGTCCCGTTCTCCTCGCAGCCTCCTCTCTCCCCAGTAGTCCCGTTCTCCTCTCCTCTCCCCCAGTAGTCCCGTTCTCCTCCAGCCTCCTCTCTCCCCCAGTAGTCCCGTTCTCCTCCTCCTCTCTCCCCAGTAGTTCTCCTGCAGCCTCCTCTCTCTCCCCAGTAGTCCCGTTCTCCTCCTCCTCTCCCCCAGTAGTCCCGTTCTCCTCGCAGCCTCCTCTCTCCCCAGTAGTCCCGTTCTCCTCGCCTCCTCTCTCCCCCAGTAGTCCCGTTCTCCCTCCTCCTCCCCCCAGTAGTCCCGTTCTCCTCGCAGCCTCCTCTCTCCCCAGTAGTCCCGTTCTCCTCGCAGCCTCCTCTCTCCCCAGTAGTCCCGTTCTCCTCGCAGCCTCCTCTCAGCCTGACTCTTTTTTACTCTTTATGCTTTCTCTCTTTAGCTCTTACCTCAGTCAAGACCATAGACATTATGAACTCCATAAATATTTCCATAATTTAATTGTATATGCTTTGCCAGGGTTACATACAATTTAAAACTGTCATTCACTTAGACTGGTTGGTAACCATGGCTAAAGACACTGGTTTGCTCTGTTTTAATAACATATAGCTGGGCGGGGTGGAAAATAGTTAGATTCTTCTGTTTCCTCAGGTTATTGGTGTGAAAGTGAATGCAACGAACTTGAAGACTAGAATTTGAACTGAGCTTGTTGATTTCTCATTCTAAACCACTAACCATTACACTACTAGCATGTCTACTTGTAGAGTAAGTATACAAATAAGATGTACAAATTTGGATAGTGTGAATTTCTTAGCAAAGAAAGGCTTACAGAACTCTCTTGCATATTATTCTAATAAAAATAATAAATAGTTGATTGGTCAGCTTAGAATATTTGCTATCTCTCTCCCCACACTTAAGTATACTACCATTTTTTGTTTTTAACTATCAAGAAAAAAAAACTCTTCCTTTGCATTTCCACATGTAAATTATATTTATTTTTCTTAGTCATTTCACTGCAAGGGGTTGTTGGGTGTAAATGAGAAAACTTTTGAAGGAATTTGAAACCCAATCCTAAACAGAAAATAAAGGATAAAACTATACTCTTATTCAACAGAGGAGGAGTGTGAACTGGGCGATAGGCGAACCTATTTACTCCTATTGAGACAAAAAATAACAAATAACTAGTAGATAAAATTTCAGTTTGTGGAGACATTAGAAGTATAGAGTTGAAGTAGACTTTAGAAGGAGCTGAAATCCCAATCCTAAACAGGGAACAAGGGATGAACCTCTACTCCTGTTCAAAAGACTGAGGAGTGTGAACTAAGTGATAGGCAAACTTCCTGAATCAGTCTGTAGAATGGACAGGCTGAAGTGCTGTGGTAATAACAAAAGCAATGAAAAGAAAAAGGAAAGTTGAGTAATCCAAATAATTATCGGCAAGTGGTTTATATAACATAAGACAAGAGGATGAAAATGTTTTAAGACTTCAAGTAAGCTTAAAAAAAAACTGATTAAACTTTGTGAGCATTTAGTAAGGCAATCAATATAAAAAGAATAATGTTGATTAACAAAATGAAAATAGAAAAACTACAAAATATCAAATCAATACACTCTGCAATGTAATGTAGCAAATGTTGTTGGCTGATAAATAACTTTGAACACAGGGATGGGATTACAATTTTTAAAAAAGCTTCTTGTCAAAAATAGATTAAATGGTGGATACTGAAAAGTGATAGAATGTATTTATTTCATTATTCTGTCGTTCTATATTTCAATTCTGTTTCTTTAGGACATAGGTAATAATATATGTGTGCATGATGTAATGGAATGAGAAATTGAAATGTATGAATCTTTCCCCCAGCTAAGGATTAAATAGAACTTGTATCTGAAAAAATCACTCAAAAAAGTATTTTTAAATTGAAAATGTATTTCAGCTTTAAATAACCCACAAAAGGTTGATAAGCCATAAAGAAAATCAATCAATCCCATCTTTGTCACCTGTTTACACAAGCTCATTAAATAGTCTATTCTCTGTTTTGCTTACCTTCAATATTTCCTTAATTTTCTTCATTATGCATCCTAAGAATTATTGCTACAATTAATATGTTTCAATTGTAAATAACCCATGGAAGTTTGATAAGCCTTAAAAATTCAATCAAGAAATCGATCCCTGTTCTGCCATCCACTCACACAAGCTCATTAGGTAGGTTAATTGTTTCTTCAGTATATCTTGTGAGTGTTGAAATTTCTAACCCTTTTTTTCTTCATTATTAGTCTTAGAAATACAAATTGTCTCTTGAGTCCTTTTTGGTTCCAATCATGGCAATACACAAGTGAAAAAATTGTAACTTTTCAAACGAAATTAATAGAAAATTTTGGTTTCATGTCAGGGGAAATGAGAGAATGATGTAACATGCATTGAATGGCATGTCTATCGTATGCTTTTTTTTAATGGTGTGTCTGTTATATGCTTTTTTTTTTTTTTTTAATGGTGTGTCTGTTATATGCTTTTTTTTTTTTTTTTTGTCTGTTATATGCTTTTTTTTTTATATTGTGGGTCTGTTATATGCTTTTTTTTTTAAATTGAAAATAAATGATAAATATTATCTGACATATATTTGCTTTTTGGGATCAGTAAAATTTGAATAAAAATCTGTTTCTTTACTCATTCATTTTCTTAGCTGTGCTCTGACACAGCTATATATGCTTTTTAGTTTTTTTTTATCATTTTCACCCAAAGCATGGCAACAAAGCCACTAAGATGGAAGGGTTTACTCTATGTGAAAGAGCATAAGTAAAAGAAAAGCATTATTAAAGAGTGAGAACAATAAAAAACAGATTAAGAGGAAAAAATATAATGATTGATATTGCAGTTAAATTTTTGAAGATCAAACTTGACTGAGAAGCAAGAAGTGCGGCAGAAGAAATTGTTAACATAGAACTTATCATTACATCTAGCAGCCAATTCAACTGTAAAATGATGAGATTTTGTTGCCAATCTAGTAGTGCGCTTAAATTCATAGTCTAGGTACCATAGAGGAAATTTCATCAGAACAATTACCATGAAAATATTTATAGAAAAGACACAGGGAAGCTATATTATGAAGTGACTGAAGCTGAAATGCCAGGTCAGGACCAATGACATTACAATTTCTTCTCTGGATATTATCAAGAATCTCTAAATATATAAAAGAAACACCAGACTATATGTGGCAGCAATATTCAAAACATGACAGATTTCTAAATATGTAAGATAAATTCTGGCAAGAAAAATTGTTTTGCATGTTACAGAACCAATTTTTCTAGCAATTGATTCAATATAATTTTTTCACTTTATGTCAGCAGAAAACATTAGCCCAAGTCACTCTCCAGGAGATTAGCATCAGCCATGATGATGGAGGTCAAAAAGTGCTCTCTCATGAATAATAGAGAGCAGTTTTGTTTTGGAGGTGTTAAAATTAACAAGCCATTCCTTGCTCCAGTTAACAGCAGAATGTAGGTCATTTTTGAGATCAGTTGCCAATTTGACCTTATCAGTTAGATCAGACTGTTGTGTGATGTCCCAAATATAAAATCTTGGAATTATAAACAGAATTTTATTCAAGATCTAACCTGTAAACCAATCTAATTAAACTGAAATTAGTCAATATTTTAACCATTTTTTTTTGTTGAAACAGGGAACAATTTTAGGAAAAATTGAATTTGAAGATCAACCTGTAGAATTCCATGATCCAAACTGCAGGAATCTGACAGCTGAAGTCTCAACAAGTGTAAGTTTTGATGCTTTTTGTTCTTCAAATGTGTAACGATGTGATTTTGACAAATAATGTATCGTTTTTCAGATTATATATGAATTTAAAAAAACAAAAATATCTTTTTTTTCTGTATTACAGTTTAAATGGTTCATGGTATTTATCCAACTAAAAATTTTGTATTGTTATCATTCCTCAGCGTCAGATAAGAACTGTATCACTTACAGAGTATATATTTTTAGAAACACTTCTTACTCTTGGACAAATATTGTGAAGTTTTAATTCATTGATAATAATTATTGTTCTAGATATGTATTGATTATTCTGCCCAGCATGACACCTTAAATCACATAATTTGATGGACACGCCGGTTCCTGTACGATCCTGGCCAGTACCTAGGTGGGTGACTGCTTGGCAATACCAGATGCTATATGCTTGGATGTGTAGGTGATGTAATGGATAACAGCTCAGAATTGTTAATCGGACAGTCAAGTTCCAATTCCATTTGGGTTTGTTATATTCACTTACATGCAGATACTTTTGGGAAAGGTATGAATCCACCTCTCCTCCCCCAGCTATGGGTTAATTAGTAAAACTTGTATCACTAAATCATTATAAACTCAAAAAATTCTTACAATGTAAATATATTTTTGATTTTAAATAATCTGCAAATAGTTGATAAGCTGCAGAAAATGAATGAATCAATCAATTGATGTAGATCAATAGATGTTTTTTATTATTTTACCTTTTACTTTTCTTCAGGTGATGAATGTAAACATTCACAAAACAATCCTCATGCACAACATATTGCATTTTTTTGTCATCAAAGAAAAAAAAAAATAATGAATTTTTTAAAAGTACAATAATTGGAATTAACATGAAATTTTATTTTCTCCTTTGTCCCAACAATATGGATAAAAACATTCAGTTGGTAAACAGATTGCCTACAGAACATTCATGTGTGTTTGGAGAACATATAATATCTGAAACAAAGGTAGAAGTGGAGATAAGACAATGTGGAAAAGCTATAAATGATACATTTCACCAAATGTTTTTTGATTTTCAGATCAAAATGAAAGACAAAACTATATTTGAGGAAATAGTGTTGGGATTTTTGAGGATAAGAGGAGCTATAAATGATCATATCTGACGATCAGAAAATGTTTGTTTGTTATATTTATTTATATAAGAGCTGTTAATGTATTTTGGATTTTAAATCGGTCCACTGAAATCAGAAAGTGATTTTATTTATTTTTTGTGTTACATATATGTTTGTATATTTAGGTAGCAGATGTTCTTTTAGGCATATCTGTTTGAATAAATTACAAACATTATATCTGCTTATTTTTATCATAATCCTTTCAAATTCACAAATATTTTTCCATATATTACAATTAAATAAGGCAAGAAATGCACTGTAACATTATTATTGGGAAATAAGTAATTCTCATTGTTACAAAGCATTACCTGATGAAGTTGCTAGAAATAAACCTTTACCATTGTGGTTCTTCCATGTTCAAGCAGCTACTAATGGATGATATCTTTCTTACTCCTCTGGACACAAAGCAAGGACTATTGCAGATGGAGTCCTAGTGTTGGTTTGTTATTTTGTGATAAGCAGGTTTTTTTTTTTTTTTTCTGTTGACATGCCAAATCCACTTTTCATCATTTGTAAGACTGATGCAAAAATGAAACATTAGCATTCATGGCTAAAAGATCCAGGAGATGGTAGAGCATTCCAAGTAGGTCATCTTTCAGAGTGAGTTTTGTCTGATATGTTACAATTGCCATTTTCTAAAACTTAAACCGCAACTGATATATAAGACTTCACTGCATTTGTATGCACTGCATAAATTTTTTAAATGCTTCTGTAGAAGCATTTTGGAATTCATACAAGTGACACTGAATATGTTGCTTTTTAAAATGAGGACACTCCCCTCCTACCAATGTGGTTAAACTCTGAAATGCACTATAGAAGACAATGCCAGACAGAATAAATAATAAGCTAATTCTAGATGCAGTTTCCTGCCATTCAACCATAGTTCTGCCTTTGTTGAATGACTTCTAATTTGTAGTGGTGAAACATGTAATTATTTTCCAAATGACCTAATAGTTGCCAGTAACCAGTAATTAAACAAAATATGTTAGTTTTGAATATCTTTATATAAGAAACTGTAACTATTTTATATATTATGGCTTGAAAAACAGACATATATAAAATATGATATTAAAAAATGCAAAGGGAAAGTAAGCGCATTATATATTTGTTGAGGCAAACTAATTTCCTCATCTTTATTTTTAACTTTTTTTTATTTTTATTGGCATTCTCATTATTTTCTTTGTTTTAATTCCTTTGTGCATTTTTATCTTTTTATACATTTCTATTTTATTTTCCTGATAAGTCACCTGACCTCACATGGTTTTGAGAACAATGAAACTAGAGCAAGTGATGCCAAAAATCCGTTTTCAATGATACAGCACATATTATACTCAGATTTTATTTATTTGACCTCCTCACAAAGGCAGGATGTGATGCAAAGACCTTTTTAAACAAAAAATAAGTTCTCTATACATGTACACATGGTGACCACTATTGCAGTGGAGTCAAATTATATTGACTTTGCCTCTTTTAGTACAATGAGGAAGCTGCAGGGTTGGGATTCTCTGGTTGTGGCACTGTTTTATAAGAATAAAGTGTCACTGTCGACACTGTAGTTTGAACATAGATTGCCAGTGTGCAAACACAGGTGATCCCATTTTGAATAAGTATTTCACGTGATAGTAAAGGAAATGTATATATGGAAATTAGTGTAGTGTCTAATTGATCACCATTGCTATTCTATCCTCTATTACGATACAGATTGCTATTCTCTATACTATTTGCTATACTGATCACTATTTGGTTCACTATACAGATTACTAATGAGTGGTTAGATTTCAAGCGAGTATTATCGAGCAAGCACTATTAGTGTGAGTGTTATTTGAAAGCATCTGACACCTGTATTATTCAATGGCATTACTATAGTTGTATCTGTGATTACAAAGTCTCTACTACAATGATCATTATGAAAGTGACAACGAGTATTTGTTGACATTACAAAAGTGGAAATGAATGTTTATTGACATCACAAAAGGGACCTTCTCCATTGTAAAATGAAGTGAACAGATACTATGCATTGATCACAGTCCATTCAGAATGTGTTTTAGTAGAGGGTATACTGCCCATGTCACCTGTACTGCTTTCTCTTTCTGCTACACACCATGAGTGTCATCTACAGAATTACTGCTGTCTCAAAGCAAGCAATGTAGCCGCTAATATAGCAGGTGGAAGGTGTAAATACATTTGCATAGGTGTGATCTCCATTACCCTCCAAACATCATCAACATGCATGCACACTGAATCAGTTTGCCTGTTGCTTCAGAAATGCAGTTGCTGGTCAGAGCCAGCCACATGATGGAAAGTGACCAGTGAGCTTCCTCGACAAATAATGATGGCTGGAATTGGTGGGATCACACTCCCCCCCCCAGATGTACAATCCCAATACTTTGACCCCATCCTTCAAAGCTTCTCAGGGTCCTTGCATGAGAGTCTGAAATTGGTAAAGTGATTCTGAACTTGTTTTGTCGAAACTCGGATTTCGTCTATATATGCTGATATGGCATTTTTAATTGACTCATCCTGAGCCACTACCACATTGATTATTGACTGCATTATGAGGGGTGCTATATTCAGTCCAAAACCCAGCCATGTAAGGCAGTACCTACAACTCTTCAAAAGTACAGTCTAAAATGGTCACAATGCCTTGTAATTATGCATCTGCAGATAAAGCTTTTCTTAAATCTAGAAGTGATACATTATTTTCCCGTTGCCAACATTCCCTTAATTTGTGTGCATAAATGTCAGCATTCACGGTGAATGTGTGGAATAAAACCCTTAGCTGGCCTGAGCTCCTTCTTGGGATATGGTATCAACCAGCCATTATCCAACCATATTTGCAGCTCATGGTCATGTTCACGTTGCACCAAGTTGGATATGGGATATTCAGTCATCATGTTATGCAGCACTGTTGGGGCTTGACTTCCTGTTCACTCCCACATTGCAGTCCAAATCTTCACCACCTGGTCAAATTTAGTGCTGAAGTCCTGTTTGTGAATGGTTATTGCTGCACATAGGAGTCGTTCGCTGTGACAGCACTATACTGCACCTGATGGAGTGATTTGTACTCCTCCTGTCTTTTTTATAGTGTTTATCCCAATCAGCAGGTCATATCCTAGCAGCCTCCTGTGATTCAACTTTGTCGGGATTACCACCATTCATGCTAATGTTCATGACTCTGACAGTGCAATCTCTCCATTGATGGTCATCATACACACACCTCCATGATTGGTACACATCTTTGCTGGCTAATTATTGGGAACAACTAGTGAATGAGCACCGTGTGTAACCTCCCATCAATTTGGGCTGCAATAACTGGTAGTGCCAAGTTTTTATCTGCTCCAGGGAAGACTGGCATTATTGTCTATTCCCTTGTCTTGTTTCTTGGATAGTTGATCCAGAGTGTGGTACCAAAATTTAAATGTTGTGGCTTTTTGATGGCTGAGGCAATCTTGTGGCAGATGGTTCTGTTTATTACAGGTGTAACATGTAATGTTGGTACGCAGACAAACAAGGATGTCGGCACTCTTAGTCTGTGTCACTGGTGATGCTGCTGCCACTACTGTTGTTGGTTCCAATGCGTCATCCTTTAGGGTAGCCCAGGCACGTGCCAGTATCTGGCCAATGGACAGCATGTCTGTTCTCAATGAAGCACGAAGGAGTTGTTTGACTTCGGCTGGCAGTCCAGCCACAAATGCCCACCTGAGTGTGCGGTCTCTCACTGCACCAAACAATACTGTGACCTTCTGTAGCTCTGCCAGATAGACATTGACAGATTTATCAGGTTTCATCCAGTGCACTATGAATTGCTTGTATGCCGCAAACTTGTCCATTGTGAAAGCCGTATATAAAGCAGTCTTTA